GGCTTGGGCGGTTTGAGTACCGAAGAGCGTCTTTGTCATTAGTTCGGTGGTTTCTTGAAGCGTAATGATGTCATCAACGGCATCAAAAATATCCTTCACTTCGAATCTTGTGCCACTTTGATTTTCTTTCTTAGTTACTTGGCTACAGATATTCTCTGTGAATTTGGAAAGGATAAGACGTCGCCATACTCTGTCTGGGTTCATTGGCACTCCAGTTTGATCTAGATGCACGATGCGAGAAGATATGGAATGGAATGTAGTTCGACAACTCCTCGAGTTTTCTTGAGCCTTAGGCAGATGCTCGATCACGTTTATTAAGATATCGGCTATGCCTGAGGATTTGTCGTACTGTTTCTTGAGTATATTAAGCGCGACGTTATACTTGTCGTCAACGACTGGAATGCTGCTGATCGAAGCAGCTGCTTTTCCGTTCAGTGCTTGTTTCAGGAAAAGGAATTTTTCTTCACGCAAATCCGTCTCGTTATGTATGAGGAATTCGAAGGCTGACCAGGTGTTGAACTCTCTGTAGTCTCCAGGGAATGTTAGAACTTCGAGCAGAGGGCGTCGAACTCGTATGCTGCGGTCGTACAACGTATTGAGAGCATCCCCTTCACTGTGGGAATTGTGTTGGCTGCTACCAACCTGGTTGGCAATGCTGGCGGCTTCTGCTAAGAACGAGGCTTGCTGCGCCAACTCTTCCTTTCTGAACTCGATTTTGCTCAGCCATTGTATTATTGCGATTTCAAGGCCATTTAACTTGAGCTCCACGTGGTTGTTCAGCTCGAGCATCAGCTTTTCACGACCTTCTGTTCCAATCGTGAACTGATTGTTTCGATCGCTTTGTCAAAATAGGTATCGTGGAGCTGTTCTGCTTTTGTGATTGTTGTTATCAAGTGGTTCAGCTGTGCAGTTTTTCCTCCTATGTACACCTCACATTCCTCCTTTTCAGTTGGGAATGTGGATGAATTGTTCGAAAGTTTGAGATCTGAGTCGCTTGAACGGATCAGCCTGCACGCGTGCGTGATTCTGGTCTTGAACAGTTGAATCTCCGTCATTTTGATGCTGAAGCTGTTTGAAATCGGTTGTTGCTTTTTTGTGCTTTGTTGGAAACCGATGAGCGTCTAAACTGTGTGGAGTTCAGCTCAGTTCGATGTCTCTTTTGAAACACCTTGGCTTCGTGTAAGATGTGTTTCCTGCCACGCGGGTCTTTGAGTTCCTCAGAGGGAATTAATGTGAAGATTCGACTTTTTGGGTAGTGATCTAGTCAAAAATTTGCCAAATTTTCTAGTCCTCAGAGGATCTTGTTTGGTAGCTAGCTATCTTCTGTTCTCTCACTGTGGAGAGATTGTGCAGAAGATTTGTGCTTGTTTCCCGGTTCTCTTTGAAGAACTCGCAGGAAAATTTCCCGATTTCTAGAAAACAATAGAAATGTCCTTCTTTCTCTCACTGGGAGAGCTAGCGCAGAAGGTCTAGTTCCAGTATTCCACAGGAAGAATCAGAATAGATATTTGAGATTTGACCAGCGATGTGGTCAAAGACTTGCCAGATTTTGCTTTCCTCAGGGAGGAATGTGGAGCAAACTGGATGATTGATGAACCTTCTGTCTTTCACTGGGGAAAGCTAGCGCAGAAGGGATCGTTTCCAACGGTCGATGCACCAATTTGGTTGATTACCTATGGAAAGTTGTATTTAGGACGTGTAACAAAGGTTTATTACGACGCCTAGTACAAAGACCGACCATGATAATACATTCACGGGGTTTATATACACAATATGTGGGCGGTCCTCAGATACCGTATCGCCAATGGACCTTAGGGGGCCCGTGGCGGTACTCAAGCTCGGGGGATGAAAGAGCGGACTGCGCCAACGGCAGAACTTAAGTTACCTACTTGATTGCACACTTTTGACACCGCCAGGTCATGCCTGTGGTCTCAACTCAAGAGATACTCATGTCAAATCATGCCTATGGTTAATATGTTGAACTAGCATGTTGTCACTCATTCCCGTAAAGAGTAGTTCTACTACAAACATATATATGGTTGTGAATCCACAACAGAGGCTATCGAAGAAATGTGGGTAAATCTCTGAGGTGGGCTGGGTTTGCACTTAGATAGTTGGGGCTACGATTACGATCAGACATCACACTTTTGCTCTAAAACGATTTACAGCGCGAAACAATATGTTGAGAGGGCTATCGAAGAGATGTGGCCAAATCTTTGAAGTGGGCGTGGACTACGCTGAGGGTGGCGGGGCAAGATCGAAAGTGCATAACCTGCTTAAAAAGTTTAACATCTTGGGAAAAGTGGATGGAGTTTGAAGAAGAAATGTGGCCATATCCTGAATGTGAGCGAAGTTTGCACCGAGATGGGCGGGGCTAAGATCAAAATTCCATAACTTTAGCACAGTGTACTTCGTGCGAGTCTAATCTGCCCGATGTACTCAAACTGAACCCATTCAAGCAGGGAGTAGGAAGCATGCCTACGAATCTGCGTATTTCAAACGATATGTAGGGATAATGAGGCTACGTTGGAAAAGCCTACCGTTGTCTTGTGGGCACAAAGTGATCACATATATGAGAGATGCAGGTATTCGGGCACTGGATGGCAAAAGATGTGCGCATATGGTCTCCTGTATAGGAGAACAATGCATGGAAATTAGACCAGGAGATCTTATTGAAGAACTTGATGAGGTGAACAGGTTTCGAGGAAGTACATCCTGGCTGACATCTTGTGACGATATTTGGTGCGATTGCTTCTATCTCAGCTCTGCTTGTCTCTTCTACAGAATCAAGGACAAGTGACGAGTTTTTTGCTCTCTTAAAATGTAGCATATGGCATGAGCAGGTGAAATTAGCATATACTATCACGTCATCGCAAAAATCATCGCACTGCATTCCATCGACCATTCCAGATGTACTGACTGAAATCGCAGATTACGAAATTACAATGACCTCGCTCGCACTCCCTCCAATGACAGCGCTAAACGGAAATTTTATTCCCAATAGCCGGGATATAGCGATTTGGCCCTTCAAGAAACTTCCACCGCTGCGGTGTATAACCAGTACGAGTGCAAGAAATCCTCTTGCGAACTTCACGACGATCACAGGTGCGGCGCACCAAAAATAAAAGTGAAATGTGAATGCGAGCATATGAATTTACGGATATCTTTCATAATATACATAGCAAAGAAGCTGCCGGCTGCATGCCCGCAGGTTCTTTTCTTTACCTTTCATAATACAACGCAAGTTATAGCTAAAATTTGTGCCCATGTTTTCAGAATTTATCATCAATTTCCACGCGGGACGGAACATCCACCCAGAACTGGACGTGGCAAACCGCGCGGTGAAATTCGTGGTGATTTAAACGACTCTGGCGCCTATCATTGAGGCACAAATTTGAAGTGAGATAGATAAGTAGCATAAGCCGGCCCTACTTGCCCAATCTACTTGGAACCCGTGCTCAAATGATAGGCGCCCAAGCCGTTTTGATCGCCACGAATTTCACCGCGCGGTTTGCCGCGTCCATCCAGTTCTGAGTGAATGTACCCATACCCAGTGCTCCGTCGTCACCATTATAGGGCTGTTATGAATGCCAAAAAGAGACGTTCACAGAAATCAAGGATGCTAAGTGGGTTGGGGGGGGGGCGATTCACGCGTGACCCCATCAGAGGTCTCGCGCACGCAGCATCGCTTCAGTACCTTTCTGTGGGGATGAACCATATAAGATTTGCAGTTGTCCACGGCTTCACCATGAATTAGAGCAGATCTCTTTACTATGGCAATAAAATCCTTTTGAGAATAAGAATTCACTTCGTAGTTCAACAATTTACTTGTTAAACGTTCAAAATAAGAGTAACTTCGTATTTTTTGACTCTAGAAAACATTTTTCCTGTAAACATGCATAGTCTGTCATTTCTTTACTTATTTTACTTATAAGTTCCTATTTCGTCCATTATGATGGCGGGCATGATGTTTCAGCGCGTTTTGTTCGATGACCTCATTAAATTGACGCGTGAATCGCACCACACCCGGGGGGGGGGCACGCGGCGCGGCAATCGGCGCGGCACCCTGCGCTCTCTCCAGCGAGATAGTAGAGAAGGAAATGTAGTCGAGCCCGTAACGGTGTATAGGGACTTTCATAGCTTTTTTATGTTATATGTATTTGTGTGTATTGTGTATTTGTATTGTGTATGTGTACTTTTCACCTGATGCGGGGTGGTTAAGCCAAATGGGCGTTCAACTTTTATCTCATCTCAGCTTTTTGCACGAGAGAACCACCTCACTCACGCCGGAACCTCTCCCCTTCTTAAAAAAAAGGACTCATCGGCTCAGAAGAAGAGTGTCCATAATATGCAAGCATGATAACATGTTCCAAGAATTAGTTTATTCTAAATCGCGAAACACATCAGTAAAACCTCACCATTCCTTCGCAGACTCAGACCCACTACTATCTTGCTGGAGAGAGCGCAGAATGCCGTGCCGTGTGCCCCTCCCCAACCGACTTAGCACCAAATCAGGTGCTAGTCTTCTTCTGTTACCTCAGGCAAATCACAATGCGAAAGCGACTTCTTTGTAGTCTTATGCTCACCCAAAAATCAAGCCACCACGCTGCACTTCCAGCGAAATGAAGCCCGAAATCGGATAAATTGCCGCTAAAGTGTGGAAAGGAGGCAAAATCCAGGATTTCAGGTATCCAGGCATTTAAATCGTCCCGCAATTTTTGCTACATTTTTTCATTATCTTCGAGGCAAAAGCTACGAACTCGGCGAACTTCAATGGCCAGACTTGGATATCGTAGATTTTTCATCACCATGCCACAAGACGACTTTCACCCTTTTGATTGTGGCGATGCTACCAATCATTCCGATACATTTCTACTTCCTTGCGATAGTTTTTCACATTGAAAAAATATTTTGCGAGTAACAGTGTATTTTATCAACTTACTACCGGAAATAGCACTCCAAAAATCCATACAAGCTTCGCGCAAAAGACAAGAAAACGATTGTTGCAAAGCCAGCGAAAACCTCGAAACGAAACATTCTGAAATTCATCTACTTTAACGTATTTATTCAAGCCATGAACCATATTTATCCATGCATTGCTTTCATAGTCCGCTGGCTAGCCCGCGAGTGAGCGAGCGAGCGCGCCGGCTGGGGGACTACGCGGCCGACGGTACCGACCAAGATTCAGTTGTAAACAAGGGGCAAGCGCCGCCCCCGGCCGGCGCGCTCGCTCGCTTACCGGCGCGCTGGAGGGCCGGCCGGCGGACTGTGGCGGAGCCAATGAGCTATGCAAAAAATCCGTCAATCAAGTCAATTTCGATCATGAAGGGTTCACTCGAATTTGAAAGTGAGCAAAGGGGTGTTGACGAATCAGAAGTCTCTTGAAGGAGTCAAATCGTTGAACTACGTCAGGCGCAAGATATTAATGACGATTCATGTGTTGCAGTCACGTATCCAGTTGCTGGAGAAGGGGCCCTATGTCCTACATGGTGTTTTAGTGGCGTACACAAATTGGAGTGGTCAAAGACGCGATGCTCGTCTGCGGTGCTTGCCGCAAACACTATAGTGATTCGTGCCCTAGAATATGAAATTGTGCTAAAAAGAAGCTTCTTCTGAAAAAAACAGAGCTGCCGCAAGATTCGCCTCGAAATTGGATGCACAGCCGACTTTACGTGTTCAAAATACTGGGATAGATGTTCCCATCTCCTGTCGGTTGACGGTCGAATGGGACATCATTACACAGTTTGCAACAAGGCCCAGGAGATAGAAGAAGAAATTGATGAGACCCT